TGACGGTGGTTGCAATTCGCCATCCTTATATGTTACGCGGTTTAAAATGTCGTAGAATAACATATTTTTGGGGTTGAAAATAGAATTTTTCGGTCCTTCTGTGCCCAATATATATTTTAGAGTCATGGTTCTGTCGTTAAATATCTTCATAGCCTCAATAAATGATTCTTTACTACTATCCTCCTCAATGTCCATCAAATTTTCCGGTAACAAATACTGTAAATCAACATATTTTATGTGTTTTTCGCTGTTGCATTTGGACTCTACGTGTTCCCGTACATGATTGCCAACGTCTCCATGAAACTTTTCAAATGACTCTTTAGTAGAACCTATGTAATCATAACTATCACTTGTTAAACGTACAGAAAATCGACCACTGGGATAATTCACGACGTGAGTTGTATTTATCAATGGAGTTCCAAAAACGTTATTTAAGTATAAGTTCAATTTCATTAAATCGTAAATGTCAGAAGATGTTTTTCGCTTTTTCAGATTTTCAAGCATACCTATGACGATGGCACCTTGAGTTCGTAATTCGTCATTGTGCACATCCATTTGCATTTTGAATTGTTCAAAAGAATCAGTTTTTGCATATTTATAAGTATCACCAATATAGATTCCATGCATAGTAAGAGAGTACTGCATATATCTGTAATAATAACATTTCAACAGTCCATCTTCCTCTGGTACGACAAATGGGATAATAGTAATCAATAAAATAAACGATTTTAGAATCATTTTTACTAACTAACAATAACTGAGCTGTGAAAGTTAAGTACGAGTAACAAGTATATTTTATAGTATAAAATCAACTATTGCATAGTCTAAGTGTAACGATAGTTATAATACGAATAAATACTTTTTCATTAAAATAAAACTGCTATCGGTAAAAATCACTTGTTTTTACTATGTTTTTTTTTACAATATAAGTATGTCCAAGTGTTTTTTTCCGCTTTTAAAATGTTGTTTGTGCAAAAAGTCTTTATTTTTAACAACACTAAAAAACTTGGCATAGGTGTTTTTTAAATGTTTAAACAATAACATGAAACGTAGAATGAACGTAAACAAATGCAATGGACCGTAAGAAATATTTCAACCTAAAGTGATATTTTTAAAATACCCGTTTCGTTTTTTTTTTTATAAAAAAAATGAAACAAAGATTTTTAAGGAACTTGTATAGCATGCTGTAGCCCCACTCCTGGTATACCTTTAGTTAAATTTTCATCCCTAAATGACCCTTAAGAAAGTCTAATACAGAAGTAGTTTCCAGTTATCTAATGTGGAAAAGGGTATATGATAACGTTTATACAAATATACAATTTAATAAATACATTAGTTATTTATATGACGTATTTGACTAACTAAATTGTATAAATAACGTGTGAACTTTTATGATTAACACATTAAATACTATTGATTCTTTTACAATATAAATTGTCAGGTATCAAATATGTTTCAATGTATCAATACATTGTTGCCTTTAGATAATTTTTTTTGTATCTAAGAATCATTTAAAACGTGTAGAAATGTCTAAAGATTATTTATATGGTATGTTCTTGTACGTCATTAGTCTCAAATTTAAATTACGCCCATTTATCCAATTACCCCCCAAGGTTATGTGTGTTTTTTACCCGAAATTATATGACTTTTCAGTTGAAAATTTTTCAAGATTTCTGAAGATTTTTTTAATTGCCAAAAAACTGTATTAGGCTTTTTTTTGTGTTTGTAATGGCAACATAATATCTGTTTCCTTTTGTTTTTTTCCATATCGATAAGTTCGTACATAAGCGACCTACATATTTTTGAGTTTAATATGAAAACATGTTATTGTTTGAACAATATACACGCACAATATTTGTCTGCTCATGTAATAGAACTTAGATCTATGAGATGCCTCGCTCCCTCTAAATTTTAAATCTTAATTTACCCCTAACGAGTCATCCATACGCCATATTTGAATTTTTTTATGGATTTCAGCTATTGACGAGTCTTTTAAATTAATGCCATTTCGATATTTTCTGATACCTCGTTTTTGGTCTTTATAATCAAATAATAATTTGTAAAGTTTCGTTGTAAATGTATTCGAAATTATAGCTAATGGTGATTAAATCACTTTTAGATAAACGCTTTAAATCAATGCCTAAATTCTTAAGTACTACACCTTTAGATCTTTAAGAGGTCTCTGTTTCTAATATCGTGAAATTCATAAACCTTTTCCATTTTTATGAAGTACTATATTACCGAGTTCCATTGCAATATCTCCCATTAAAATGTATTTTTTTTAAAAACATTTTTTTTGTGTCTGTTTGTAATGGCAACATAATATCAGTTTTCTTTTGTTTTTCCCAAATCGGTAAGTTCGTACATAGGCGACCTACATATTTTTGAGTTTAATATGAAAACATGTTCTTGTTTGAACAATATACACGCACAATATTTTTCTGCTCACGTACTACATTTTAAATCTATGGGAGGCCTTTTTAAACATTTTTTTTTTATAAGGTGTTTCCTAAAAATGAGAAAATTTGATGTTTACAAAATTGTACTAAAAACATTAATTTTTTTCCAAAGTTTTTGTATCAAGTACAAGCTGATATCCTCCCATTTACGTATGAAAGACTACATCAGGATTATGGGCACCACGACTTCGGCGACAGGCGTTTACGCGTTCAAAGAAGTTTGTGATGACTTGCTCACGGGTGGTCGCATCAAGAGTTTGTCCCGAATTTCCTCCTTCAATTCTACAATCGTCCGAGGCTTAGAAGAAAAGGCTTAAGCCTTAAGTGCTGATTTTTTTAGTTCAATTGGCAAAATAATTGGTAAAATTGACTTAAGCTCTTTCTACCCAGGACCAAAGATATATTTTTTTTGTATGTAAAAACATATTTTTTTGGTCAAGAACCATTTTTCAAGCATATTGAATCAGATAGTTTGGTATTGCTTTATTAAAATTCGTAATGACAATATAATATCTGTTCTTTTTGTTTTTTTTTTTTTGAAAGCGATAAATTCATACATCGGTGACCTATATATTTTTGAATTTAATATGAAAACATGTCATTGTTTGAACAAAATACGCGCACAATATTTTTCTGCTTATGTATTTACAACTTAGATCTATGAGAGGCCTTGCTCCCTTTAAATTTCCAATCTCAATTCACTGACAAATTTCATGTATAGACGGAATTTGAAATTGTTAAAAACTATTTGTTTGGTATGCCCTTTTATCATAGATAAGATCAAGCCAGATAGTGTACTCTCAAAAAATGTAGAAAAAAACTTTTACACTCTCAGGTCAGCGTGATCATAACATGAAAAAAATAATCCTCCTAGTATACAATGTGGTCAAAGAAATATTATCAATCATAATACTATGTGTAATGTTATCACCATTTACAATTTATAGTTAATCAACAAGAGTTATGAACGTGTACACTATTTTCGGCATTATAATTTGACACTACTGCATTAAGAGCAAGTCAATCAAAAATCGTTTTTCGAAAATCTTTTAGTTTACAATGAAGTGTACTTTTATTACATTTAGTGTCCCTACCAGAGTTTATCTTTTAAATTCCGTTTGACCTCCAGTCATTACCTGCCCACCTGATTCGTTACACATAATTCATGAGGTATGCATTGAGGTATACCGGGTTTTTAGTAAATTTGTTGCACTTCTCCAATGGTTCTTCTTCTGTAAACTTAATTTTCTAAAATAAATCCATAAATCCTCCCAAGTAATTTTCTTTCAATACAGGCCATTGTTTCTTCATCAATCTAAGTAGTCAACCATGTTTCCATTCGATTAGCAAAAGTTAAATAGCTTAAGATATTACTACAAGCAAAACATTTAAGGGTCTGAAATTAAGTCTGGTATAGTTTATACATTTATAATTTGAAGTCATTTTTTTAAAAATACAAATACTGTTACAAATATTTCCTACCAAAATATTATGAGCTAATTTTAATGGATACGATTAGGGTTGATCGTCTGTCCATAATAATATAACGTCGTTGGGCTAATGTACCAAAAAGTTATGATTTCAGATTAGTAGAGTTGCATCATATAAAGAAATCGGTTCAGTGGTTTAAAAGATATCACGAGTCCAGTCACAAAAAATACAAAATAAAGAAATAAATATAAAAACAAATCATTTTAAAAACAATACCTTCTCGGTTCTGCATCGAAGCTATAATAGTAATGATAGAGTAGTATTATAATTATTACTATAACATATTATAATAATATGATAATATTACACTATAATGACTTTTTAAAATAGTATGTTTGTATACCTGATAAACTAGACGTACCTTCCAGGTCCCTCTGTATGATCGAAAGAAAGCCTTACAAAAACTATGTTATAAATTTGCGGTTTTGTAGATCAAACATTTATTTTTATACTGATTTTATTGTGCCTATTACTTTTGTAAAAATTTTTTTTTGTACAGTATTACTCCTGCAATATTGTCTTCGCCGAGTAAATAGCTTTCGCTGATTAGTTCAATTTCAATTTATTTAATCCGTCTAGAATTAGATAACTTTAGTATTAAGTTTAGACTGTATAAATATATGTGTTTATAGCGGTTATATTTTTTTTAAATTAGTAATTAATTTATATAATGTTTTATTGCTAATACTTATTGTACAGATTTAATACATTTTATACAGTTTTTATTTTTAATTTAATAAAAAAAAAAAAAAAATAGTAATAAAAAATTATGTTAAACGATTTAATTCAGTGGGCTTTGTTGGAATTTATGAGCAATCAACAAGTTAAACATATTTTCAGGTAGAACAAAAACAACAAATAATATAAAACAGAAGAACATATTTTATTGAAATAGTGTGATGGCAAAAATGTAATACTAGTTTTCAACAATGTATTTACAAATGCCGATAGTAAATTATTATATATTGTTTAATTTTAAGAACCTAATTTCATTAATTATATAATACTTATAATATGAAGAGTACTAAAGTTTGTTTACAAGTTGGACAAGTCAAATAAATGTACTAGAATGGTTGTGTAATTTTACAGAAAATGTATTAACATTATACATTCATAAGAAATATAATAATAATAATAATATCAATCATAATTATAATAAATTCTCTATTATAGATAAATAAAAATGAAAATATAAATAACTATTACAGCCATAAAGCATGTACAATATTTTAAAATTCAATCTTCTGTTAATTTTTTTATTAGCAAATACTTTAGTAATATTAACTCACAATTAACACACGTTTGGAACTCCTTTCTGCTTTAACTCTTGAAATGTGTTTCAAAATTTTGTCATAAGCTAAAAAAAACAAAAAACAATTAATGGTCAAAAGTGAGGCGCCTAGAACACAAGGGGTATAAGTGATATTTGATTGATTTCGAGAAAACCAAGCTCCGTATTACAAACGTACCGTCTTTGTAGTGCAATACAATGTCGAAAGTCAATTTATCATCGAACATGTACTCGTGAGAAAAGTACGGGTTCCTTCGGCCTACATGCAAAAAATCTTCCTCTTTTCCCCCTAAAGCAGGTATGTATTCGTCAAGCTTACTGGTTTGTCTTTTTAGGTTCTCTAGCATTTCGACAAACTTGTCTTCTGTATCGATATTCATGGATGCCACATCATACTCGTCGAATATCAATAAATTTAATTGCATGGGCAACGAACAACGTCTGTATAACGTTTCGATCCAAGTGAGTTTGGTAGTTTGTATGCTTTTCTTGTTTTCGAATCTACGGAGCTTGGATAATTCTGCCGCAGTACATTCTAAATGAGTTTGCACTCTTGCGGGATATAATTTGTAGTCTATGATTTGATTTAGACGTTCCTGAATTTTCACAGCGCATCTGTCAATTGTTGTCTCATATTTCCGAACCATTTCGTCCACGTCACCGAATTTAGCTTTGCCGTTATAATACATTTGTTTGAACAACAATAGATACGAACCGATGCAATTGAGAACTGGGTAGATCGATGCCGCCAATACTTGACGTTGAAAGTGCTGGATATGATGCGGCTCATAGCTACGTTTAATCATTTCAAATAATATCGTTATATTTACCATTTGCCCGTCTATCAATCTGCCATCAACACTGACGTTTCGCAATAAATCCAAACTAGTATCCTGTTTATCTGGTGACGGTGGTTGCAATACGCCATCCTTATATGTTTCACGGTTTAGAATTTTTTGGAATAACATTTTTTTGGGATTGAAAATTGAATTTTTCTGTTTATCTGTCGCTAATAAATGACTCAAAGTCACGGTTTTGTCGTTAAATGTTTTCATAGCTTCAATAAAAGTTTTTTTATTAGTATCCGCCTCGATGTCATAAAAATTTTCCGGTAACAAGTAGTTCAAGTCAACATAAGGTTTAGGGCATTCGCTAAAAGCATCACGGTCTATGGGTTTTTCACTTTTGCATTTGGACTCGACATGTTCTCTGATATCTTTACCGATGTATTCATGGAACGTTTGAAATGACTCTTTAATAGAAACTATATATTCTTTACTATTGCTTGTTAAACGTACGGTAGTTCGACCATTGGGATAATCCACAGCATGAGTAGTTCTTATCAACGGAGTTTCAAAAACGTTGTTTAAGTATAAGTTCAACTTCATTAAATCGTAAATGTCGGAAGATGTTTTTCGCTTTTTCAGATTTTCAAGCATACCTATAACGATGGCACCTTGAGTTCGTAATTCGTCTTCGTGCACTTTTATTTCCAGTTTTAATTGTTCATGAGAAACATTTTTTGTATTGTTGAAAGTATCGGTAATATAGATTCCATGCAAAGTAAATGAGTACAGCATATACCTGTAATAATAACATTTCAGCAGTCCATCTTCCTCTGGTACGGCAAATGAGTTGATAGTAATCAATAAAACAAACGATTTTAAAATCATTTTTATTAAATAATAATTTAACAATGAATACGAAGTACGAGAAACTATATTGTAGATCACTGAATGAATTATTGTATAGTCTAAGTACGACGATAGTTATAATACAAGTAAATAATTTTTTATTTAGTACGGTTTTATAGATAAAAAATCTTTAGTCTTTACCTTTTTTATTTATTATAATATAAGTATGTCAATGTTTTTTTTTTCCTATTAAATTGTTGTTTGTGCAAAAGAAGTCTTTATTGTTCACATCACTAAAAAACTCGGCATAGGTGGTTTGTAAATGTTTAAACAATAATATGAAGCATAAATTAAACGTAAGCAAATGCAAAGGTCGATAAGTAATGTTTCGACCGAGAATGATATACTGAAATTATTGTTCAAATATCTGTTTGGTTACACTTGATAAAAAAAATGTTATCAAAGATTTTTAAGGATCTTGTATAGCATACTATAGCCCCACTTTAGATGTACCATTTGTTTAAAGTTTGGACCTCAACCCACAACTTGGAACTACAACCTACTTTACTGGCTCTTTTTTTTTTGGAGCATCAGGGTTCTAGGGCCCCGCAAGAACATAGTTCAAATACTTGAGTAAGTACCTACGCAAACGACAAATCAAAATAAAACACTTGTGTTCGATAAACAACAAACCGTAATATTGTATAAGTTATTGTTTGTAAATTTTGTGTGAACGCAAAGTAGATAACTTTAATCATAAATAATGCAATAAAACGCGTTTTTATGTGATGCATTGTATCACTTGTTGATTCGGATTACTTATTCAAACGGTTATAAAGAATAGTATGTATTAAAAAAATATATATATATATATATTATCAGAAAACAAAATATTTCAGCGCATATGTAACAATAATTACTGTGATGTGAAAAATCAAATTCACCAAAATTTCGTATGCAAAAAGTTAAACTGTTACAATAAAATATTTTTCCACATAATACGGTCTAATACAAATACAAATAATGTATCGTTACCGTTGCCAATGTTTTTTTAATTTCATATTCGTAACCTTTTGAAAATATTATAAGGTTTATTTAAACAGTTTTCGACATCTAGGTTATTTGTAAGATACAGTGTATAAATTATAAAAATTGATTACAACTAAGAACTAATAATTAGTCGATCATCAATAATTATTGTTGGTCTAAGACGTCTATGTTACATTAATGTGTACGATTTTACACATTCCAAAAATAGTATTATTTTTTGTTATGTACCTACATTGTTTTCTTCGAGAGTGTCTTAGTGTATTTGGGTTGCCATGTTGATTTCTGGCAGATGTGTATTCAGGGCAGTCCATGATGATAAATGATTGACGCTCAGGGTGACGTTACAAGTAGACAATAATGGTTTGGTCATGCTGGTTCTTCAGGTTGATATCGGTAAGGCGCAATGTTATCTGTGATCTCTCGCAGCTTATTGTTTGAAGACAGTAGTGATGACGCCAAAAGTACATATCCTACTTTGTAACTTAGATGAAAACATTGGTTTTCGAGTGTCCAGTTGTATAGAATAAGTTTACAGGTCTAGGTTCTACAACTTATAGTTTGTGTAATTGATTGGACTTTAACAATAATTACAATTATTTATGAATAATTTCCGTATAATTGAATTAGATGTTAAGAATCTATTTATGAAATTGTATAAGTTAAAATGCATTTTAATACTTCAAAATAAATCATATTCGACTATACATGTTTTAGTAGTGACAGTATGGGCAATAAGATCAATACCGCAAAAGCTCGAAGGAAAAATAATAATGTTCTTGAAGAGTGGACAATTTGTTGTTTTATTACATTCTTATTGACAAATGTTCTTTTATACTTATTTAACGCTATGATACACTACCCTCTTAATTACCAAGGAGTAAACATAGGGTTTTTTTGCAAAATCTTTAATTTACACTAATTTAGTTTTAAATAAAAATTATTCATATTTTGTAATTTGAATACAATTATAAAATATAGTATTTTATTTTTGTTTTTTTTAGCTTCAACAGAAATATAGACGAATCAAATATAAAAATTGAAGTACACCTATTAAATCAGTCGTCCAAAAAAACAAGTAGCCATATTATTATAAACTACTATTTCGTGATTCTAATAAATCATTATTTACAATTTTTGTTATGACTGTTAGTTTTTTACCGAGTTAAACTTTAAACAAAAAATATGTATAAAAATAAAATGGTAGTATAAACTTCCACCCTGAAGGGGGCAGCGATGGATTTACATAGGCTGCTTAAGCTGATTTCGGTTTACAGTTAGTGTAAGAGCTATCAAATAAATAAGCGTTAAAAGAGCACCTGGCAAATGTCAAGAAAATGAAGTTAATCAATGTCTATAGTAAAAAAAAAAAATAATACTCAAAATTAAAAATTAAGTAAATAAAATAATTTACCAATACAATTTATTAGGAATAATACATTAACGGATAACGAAATATATATTTTCGCTAAGTTATAAATGACAAAAATGTATACAAAATTATTATTGATAATTGGCTTATGCTGATAATCTAACAAACCCTAGGAGAAAATTCTAGAAATTACCTAACTAGAAAGTACATAACCTAACGATATCAATTTTGAAAAAATAAATTTAACCTTACCAGTTTTAATTTTTTAAATTTTTAGTCAATTTTTTGTCATTTTTAATGGGGTTGCATGTGGTCTTTTTTTTTGACATTTTAGATCATAAAGGCAGACAAAATTTAAATTTCTTGGAATGGTTTAAATTAAAAACAATACCTTCGAGCTTATACAAATTGATACGGCCGAAATTAAATAAAACCTCTTTTTTCCATAAATATTGCCTAATCAAAACTCCTTAAAAAAACAGACCGCATGCATTCCTTTTAAATAAACAAAACGGTTATTTAAAAATCGACTTACAAAATGTCTTTTACTTGTAGAAAAAAATTGTTAAGTTAAAAACTAAACCACGAAGCTTATGCAAACTAACCAGACGGTAAGATTGGCATGGTCGAAATGTATTAAAGCAATTGTTTTCTTAATTATTGCCTATATAAAACCCCTTGCAAATCAACTGCTTTCGTTCCCCTTAAGGCCCCTGGATACCGATCATTTTTAAGGAGTTTTGTATAGGCAATATTTGAGAAAAAAGTGGTTTTATTAAATTTCGACCATGTTAATTAATTTACCGGTTAATTTATATGAGCAGTAGTATTATATTTTTACTGATAAAAATTTGTTTTTTAAATTATCGTTTCGGTAGTACAACATTTAATGACGAGTGCTACTGTTTAGTAATGGTTTAGCTTCGGTGAGAGTTTGTTGTTTATCGAACACAAGTGTTTTTTAACCATTTTTGATTTGTCCTTTGTGTAGATACTTATTCGCATGTTTGAAATATTTTCTTGCCGGTCCGTAGAACCCTGATGTTCCAAAAAAAAAAAACCAGTAAGGTGGGTTGGGGAATAGTGGTGACGGAGCACAGTGGGGACGGATAGGTCACAAGAATTACAGGATTTTACAGGAATTATAACCACTGAGAGTGATAAGTTCACTTTTAAATAAACGCTTCTATGCGAATCAGTAGTTAGTAAAAAATTCATACCATTAAATTCCAAACCAAGCACATTATGAACTAGAAAAGTCAGTAAGTAACAAAGTGAGGTGCAGTATTTACAAATTAGAAGCGTTTATTTGAAAGTAATTATATTCGAGTAAGCCAGAACGGCGGAGTCGAACTGGCCTAATGGGATCAAAGCAAAATGAGGACGAAGAGGTCAGAGGTTATAAGAATTATAACAACTGAGAGTAATAAAATCACTTTTAAATAAACTTATAAGCTTAATTAGCTTTGATGCTAATTTGTAAACACTGCACGTCACTATAATACTTTCTTATTGTGCTTGATTTTTTTTGTTATGTTACTATAAATAATAGCATTAAGGTATCGCATATTGCTTATGAAAAAATACTCAGGTCATTGTGTTTTTTTACTAATGATAAACGTCTACAGGAAAATTAATTTTCTTACAAAAAATAATTTGTTTTTTATAATTTTTATAATTTATAATAGCTTATAAGCGATTTTATGTACTTCGCAAATACTAAAATAAACTACTACTTGAGTTGAATATTATATTCAGTGTCAAATGTAGTTTTTTTTAATGAAAAAAATGTACCATAAGCAACAATGTATTGTTACTTTAAAATTCATTTGATACTCAACCTGAACTAGGTCAGCCTGAATTAGGTCTAAACATTAAACAAAATGTAGTTGTAAAGTGGGGTTAGCGCATACTATACAAGTTTCTTAAAAATCTTTTCTTAATATTTTTTTTATCAAGAAAAACCAAACAGATTTTTGAACAATCATTTCAATATATTACTCTCGATTGAAATATTTATTAAAGCCTTTACATTTGTATACGTTTATTCTATGCTTCATATTGTTGTTTAAACATTTACAAAACACCTGTGCCGAGTTTTTTAGTGTTGTGAAAAATACAGACTATTTTACACAAAAAATATGTTAATAGCGGATAAAACACTTGGCCATACTTATATTATAGTAAATAAAATTGACAAAAACAAGTGATTTTTACCGATAACTATGTTTTTTGGATAAAAAATATCATTAGTCGTATTATAACTATCCACATACTTAGTCTACAATAATTGATTCAGTAATCTAAAACATAGTTTCTCGTACGTCTTGCTCACAGTTAAATTCTTGTTTCATAAAAATGATTTTAAAATCGTTTGTTTTATTGATTAGTATCAATATTAGCTCATTTGTCGTGCCAGACGAAGAGAGACTGTTGGGCTGTTATTATTACAGATATATGCTGTACGCTTTCACCATGCATGAAATCAATATTGGCGATACTCTAAAAAATAAAGAATATGTTTCTGTTGAACAATTAGAGATGAAAATAGAATGGCATGAAGACGAACTACGAACTCAAGGTGCCATCGTCATAGCTATGCTCGAAGAACTGGTAGTGAGAAATCCGTCTGCTGACATGTACGATTTAATGAAATTGAACTTATACTTGAATAACGTTTTCGGGAGTCCAATGATAAGAACCACTCATGTCGATTTTAGTCTAGGCAGTGAAATTTCTGTACGTTTAACAAGCGATAGTAATGAATTCATAGTTGCCGTAAACGAGGTATTCCAAAAGTTTCTCGAGTACGTCTTCAACGACTTAAGACAACACGTCGAGACCAAGTGCAAAAAGACAAATCCCATAATCGGCGATGCCTTTATAGGCTGCCCCGAAATATACGGCGATTTAAACGATTTGTTACCGGAGACTTTTGACGTCGCTAAGCATAATATAGATAACGAGGAATTATTCTTAGAAGCTATGCTAACGTTTAACGTGAATACCATGACTTTGAGTGAGATATTGAATGCAACGCCTGATAAACAAGACTGTTCGATGTTCAGCCCCAGAAAAATGTTATTCCACGAAATTCTAAACCGTCAGACGTATAAGAAGGGCAAATTGCTTCCGAAGACAGCAGCTGAACTGGATACCAGTTTGGATCCATTGCGAAACGTCATCGTCAATGGACGGCTGCTGGACGGCCGCAAGGTAAATATAACGACACTATACGAAATGATCAGACGTAGCTATGAACCGAGTCATATCAATCACTTTCAACGACAAGTATTGGCGGCAACGGTCTACCCGGTACTCCACAGCATCGGTTCGTACCTGTTGTTAATCAAACATATGTATTCTACCGGCAACGAAAAATTCGGTGACGTGAACACGAGGGCTTGGGAATACGGGGAAACTATTGACAACATTGGTAACTCAATTTGGAATGCGCTGAACGATTTCGTAGCCTTACAGTTGCTTCCGGAAAAAGTGCAAGAGTATTTAGTCAACATTGCGGCCAAGTTAAATAACTTGAATAAATTCAAAGACAAGACAATTGTGTCAATGGAAAATGCCAGTTGGATCGAAACGCTTTACACCCGTTGTTCGGTTCCCATGCAGAACAATTTGTTGGTATTCGACGATTACGATGCGGCACTCGTGGACATCCGCACTCAAGACAAGTGTGACAAAATTGTTGACGACCTAAAAGGACAAATCAAAGAGCTCATCGTTTACATACATGCTCTGGAAAAATACAAGCAAGATTTTTTCAATGTCAGCAAGAAGAACCCGGTCTTCTTACACGGGAGAATGTTTGATCGTAAATTGGTTTTCGACATTGTATTCCATTACAAAAACGGTACGTACGAATTGAATGTCGTTTAATGATATTTTATTTAATTGTGACATGCTTCTATTTGAGGATTTGTACAATACACTGGTTTGCATAGAGTGGTCCAATTTAGCTTGGATGCGTAGTTGAAAAGGTATCTTTTTTACTATGATGTGTTTTTTTCTGGACCTACGCTGTCTTTTAAACCGTTGAACCGACTTCTCCGTGTAGCACCTCCATTGTTTAAGAAGAATATCTGAATGGTACTTCGTTAGGTCTAAAATTTGAACATCTTACCCCTTCACTTTTCGAAATATAGAAAAACATCCAAAAAAGGTACACATTTATCAAAGTAAAACTACTTTTTTGAAAATAGTCAAATTATTTCCAAATTTCCATCGAATATTCTTTAGGTAGGTACTACCGATAAACGCTGAGAAACCAAAAAAATAACAACATCTAACAGCTGTTGTTTTAATATTATGGGTAACTATGGCAATCAGTTATTATAGACAGACGACCAACCACGATTGTGACGCTACAACACTTAAAACTTGTAAAAGTCTGTAGTAAAACTTTTTTTTTATGAAGAACCCCCCCCCCCTTCATAAAAAACTGGGAAAATTACACTTTGACCTTAGATAAATTCTAGGTTGCTATGTTAGAGTAAATCAACAGCCAACAGGTATCCGATAAATATTTGTATTATATTGTTATTAATATTTTATAGGTAACTACTAACTATGGCAATAAATTATTATAGACAGACGACCAACCCTAATCGTATCCATCATAATACTAAAAATACACTATTGTCATATCGTACAATGCTTTTATGGATATTTGTATATTTTCTACTGTTACAGGTTCGCATTGAAGCGTTTATTTGAAAGTTACTTTATCACTTTCAGTTGTAATAATCATATGGATCTGTGACCTCCTGAATTTTAACTTACACGATAACTGCTCGATATGTAGCTCCAATCATTATCTAACAAACTTCGAGTATGCCATACCCAAAGAACTGCGGTTGGGCCTATCCGGGAAATTTGAGATTTCTGTGTAATACACCGGCTAAATGAAATAATTCTGTAAAAAGATGGGAGTTGATTAAAAATAATTAAAACAATATTTTTTTCAGTTTTCATTTAATGTTTATAATTTCCACTGTAAAACATTTTAATATATACATGGAACAATTATCATTTGCCAAATCTGGAAGTGTTTCTCCAATTGTTTGTATGCGCAGTTTTTGACAGGATTTAGATTTCGGTATATTACCGTTTGCAGTTATGTAAGCATTTATAAAGCGTTTTTTAATTTTATTACTAAACGATATAAGACTTACTGTTACCTCTGCACTTTATTTTTTTTATTAGCCATAATATTATTGACAACAACATTTATAGAGTAAAATACAGACTTTTGTTTTTAATTAACCACAAACAATTCTATGTGGTTGGGAGGAAGGCTGTTAAGTTAATTTCATCATTTTACCATGTTTAGCATTTCAAACGAGTAAAATAAAAAAATGTTTAAATTAAAATTTTATTTTGATCAGTATTACTTATTCAAGAGTAAATTAATATTATTATTACGAATAAAACTTTTAGTGTAGGTATAACTAAATTATCAGAAAAATATTGCAAGTAGGACTATAATTATATACATTAATAGTTATTTGTGTTTTTTAGCTTTTCACCAACTTTTGAAACACATTTCAATGGTTAAAGCACAAAACAGCCACGAACGTTTGCTGTACAACTAAATTTTATTCAACTCTATAATATTTCTATCGATAATTTTAGTATGATAATTATTTCAACAACATAAAGCTGGTATAAGTCCCATGTTTATTGATTTAAAAAATTTAACATAACTTTAATATTGTGAGTTAATATTAACTAAAGTGTTTGCTTATGACATTTTAAATAAAATTAACCGAAAACGTAATTACAAAATATTTTATGTGCTTTACGGCTGTAATAAACATTTATATTGTGATATAGTAACAGCTGTTATATATATATAAATATTATTATTTGTAAGATGTTATAACATTATCTGTAAAACTACATAATCGTTCTAGTACTTTTAATTTACTCGTCGTACAACTTCTAAAATAAGTTTAATGTTGATTATAAAATAATAATGTTATCAATAATGAAATTAAGTTCTTAATATTGAATATATATATATATATTACTTTTTAAATATCAGCATTTTGGAAATAACTTGTTGAAAACAAGTATAACATTTTTGCAATCACAATATTGTAATAAAATAATATGTTCTTCTATTTTATGTTGTTTGATATTTTTGTTCCACCTGCAAATATGCTTAACTTGCTGTTTTCTTACAAATCTTAACTCGCCGAATTACATCGTGTAAAATAAATCGCTTATTAGTAGTTTAAAAATAAAACAAAAATACTATAAACACATATGTACAGCTTAAACGTAAAGTTTAAGTTCTCTAACATTGTACGGAGTGAATTAATTGAAATTTCACTCTTTAACGGAAGCTATTTACTGTACGAAGACAATAATACAGGATTAAAACTGTACAAATGAATTTTATATACATATATAGATATAAATTTACTACAGTCCATTCTGAGATGAACTCTCAAATAGGCCAACAAAAATATTACCGTCTATCGGAAGATGTACTAATTATTATTACCTTATTATTCGGAGAGAAACAAAAAAATAATAGCTAATCCCACACAATGGATTTTCTAATAATAATAATAATAATCATTTCGAAATGGCCAAACTTTATCGTAAAACTATTGCCCAGAGACCTTGACATTTTTTTAATGGCCATTTCTCGTTCACCCGCAGTCAATATTGTTTCCAACCGGCACACGCCGGGCCACCGTTTGAATTTTCGCAAATAAACTGGTCTATTAGCAAACACACAGCCTCGTCGACGTCGATAAAACAGAAGATACCGCGACAATATAATAATATAATGCTTTTGAGCAACGCATACACATGTATAGATTCGGTGTAGTTAATTCGGTGTGTGCTCATCGCTCGCAGTCAGTGGCTGTTGCCAATTAATAGTAATTTACCATAATATAGGTGTATCCGACACCGACCGAGAACAATCATGTGTTTTTTCCCCTTCAAAGATTACCATTATTGTTGTAGTGACACAACTGAGTCGATGGGGGTATTCGTCGACATTCCCTATCAACCGCAAACCGGTGCGTTTAGTAGGGCGTCGTACACAATGTTGTGGATACTAGTTATTATTGAGAAACGACAAGACCGCACGCGGTGGTTTAGAACTGGAAAAAAAAAAGTGACCAAAAACTAGGAAAATATCATTTTTTTTTTTTTTTAGATTGTTACTTGCTAATTTTCGAGTCCTAGCAACTAGGAAAAATCAACTAGCAAATTGTAAAAAACATATTTTTAGAGTGTATTGCAAAAATCAAGTAGAAAATCTAGAAAATTCTTGATGTATAGTTGTCTCCGGCGTAACGCTGTGATAGGGTCCCTAGCAAAATCTAGCAAAATTTTCAGTATGACTTTTATTACAGGCATTTACTAATATATAATTGAAACCGTCCTCAACGTGGTGTGACCACATCATTGAAACGAAATAATTATTGTACAAGATTATATTTTTACCATAATAATATTATGTTATCAGATTATTTTCATATTGAAAATCGCATTACAACGAATGCGCCGCGGATGCCGATGAATCTGAGTGTTATATTATTATGATCGAATAAGAATAATAAAAATGTTTTTAAAAAATGATGCAATGCGATTCTTAATATTTTCTGCCTTCGAAGATCCCGACCCTCCCTCCCCCCTCCCGGGTGGGCACAATACACAGGCCGCTTTGACCTTTGCTCCGAATTCGTCAAACAGCCCAAGTCGCGACTCCTCGTGGCCGGCGTTACGCAAAACAAACAACGGGGCCGCGGGCACATCGTGCAACGGATCTCAGAGGGAAACGGATCCCACGGCCGCTCGGTCGGCGTTATCGAATACATCTTACACAGCAGCTGCTGTATACCTCCAATCGTGCATTATAACCACCCGTTGGTGTGCACAACTGCAATAGCGACGCCGTCGATACGGCCATCGTCTTGCGTCTCGACCGGAGACTGGAGAATGACAGCTGCATAATCCGCGGTTGTAAGTCGAAGATTTCCAAGTGTCCAAGTCTTATCAATTATCTCTGGTATCTAGGTATACAGGCCGGTAAACTATTAACAAGGGTGAACCTCGGGGAAAACGAGGATTCGTAGATTATACTGGCGAATTATCTACTCGAGACAGCGGATACAGCTGCTACGTATGTACCACAATAGTTGTTGTAAGATATTATATAATGTGCTCGAGCACAGAAATTCATGCCAAAAGTCATGTAAAAAACGATTAAATCTGTAATAAAAAAATAAAATAAAAAATACAAGAACCTAGTAGTAGTCTAATGTTGGAAAGAAAACGAGGCAAGATGCACGGCCGGTCGTTCAGTATCATCGAAATTCGTTATTGACCCGAGTAATGCATGTTAAACCACTTACGACCAACAAGAAAATCAACCTCTCTTGGAACCTAGATACCTTGACTCGATTTTTAGTGCCCAATTCTACTTAATGTTACACGAGTTATTTTAAAGTGGCGTGATCATATAACACAATGATGACAGCTAAATATTATATAGGTGTAAGTAATTGCATATTGGGGTAAATAGGTACAAACATAATATTTATATGGGTGTATATTTAACTTGACATTGTTATAATGAGGTGTAGGTAGAACGAGGCAAACAAAATAGTACTTAAATCAAAAGTGATTTTCACGTTCTATAAATAACATAATAATTCGTGAGTAAGCGTATGTTGGATCCGACAGCGATTTTCGAAATACACTTGTGTTAAATCTTAATTTTGTCATATTGCTTACTACTTCACATGAAATAACAATAAAATTTACAGTTTGGTTCTACTAAGTAATTTGTGTTTTTTTTTTTGTAAGGTATTAAATTTAACCGGGTACATATTTATACACGGCGGAATATCGATTAAAAATAAAACATAGGTGGAGTTATAATTTATTTCCATGTAATAGCTAAACACAATAGGTAATAGCTACGATACGTTGTCATAGCCAAATCCATACCTATATGTTTTGTAGAAAACATTTTTTACGTTATTGCGTTTATTATATTTCGTACCTACTATATTATAAGAGCCTTAGAGAAAAAAAAGCCATAAAGAACATAAACGAAACAATACAACTCCAAGAAATATTGCATATTTCATAAACCATACTCAATCGACGCACAGTAAATTGCTTAATAGGCAATAGCGTTGCTTTTTGTTTTCGATTAGGCAATTTCATAGTTATCAAATGAAGTATTTCGTTGCGCTGTTTTGTATTCACCTACAATAGTTGACAAAAATTATAAAAATAAAATAAAATAATAATTGTTATTTCTTTATTAAATAACAATCACGCGCCGCCGTCTACACCGTAAGCCCATCTGTAATGTAGGTTGCTGTTCAGGTATGACGACGAATACAAATGACTGATGTCGCAAATACACAACAACTTTGGGAAATTTAATTGGAATCGGTTGTTTTATTTAATAGGTACTGCATTCAAGGTGTGTAACAAGTAATGTAACTGATTATCATTATTTTTTTCAAGGGTTCTTAGGGCCAACCAAGAAAACTCTCGTGAGTTTTTAAGACATATTTTTTACTTCATTATATTTAATTACTCGATTTATTTACTCGTTTACTCGGATTTTTAACTAGTTTACTCAATTTATTATGACCTTTGCTTTCCCTTATTCTACCAGCACATTAACTGTTTTGGTAAATTTAACTACAATTTTCAGCTGTATTTAGTGAAGTACTAAATTTATAATATTGAATTTTTTAACAAAATAATGTGGTTCAGTATAGTTATTTTTTTTTTTATTAACCATGGAAACAACATTAATTAATTATTTAATAGGCCACAAATAATTTTTTAACATGATCATGTTTTTAGGCTGGCGTCAACCAAAACAATTTTAGTGAGATTTTTGAGTCGCGCCAATTAACTCAGTCGTTTACATGGTATATTATATTATATATACAATATATCTCTTTTTTCACTCATTAACTTGGATTTATTTAACAGAACCTAAAAAACATTATTGTGATTCTACATTTTTAACATTAACTCAAAATTACAACAATTTTATATAGTTATTTTGAGTCACTTTATTTTCAGAAATTTTTAAAATCTCAGCGAGCAAGCTAAATTTAGTTTTTAAAAAAACCAAAATAAAATTAATCAACATTTTTGTAAATTTGATAAATTATTATTAATTTTAAATATTGTAAAATAACATAAACAAACCTTAAAAAAAAAAAATAAAAACTACAAGTATTTAACACAATAATTGTTTTAATGGATATTAAGTGTCTTGCGTTAAACGGATCATCTTGTACATAGAAATTATATATTTTAAGATAGAGAGCCGAAAAAGATAACGTTTGTTACAAAATGTTTGCTTTATGGTACCTAATTAAGGTGTATCCGACTACCGTTGATATATTTGTGTGTATTGACTTGTAGGTATGTAAAGATGTGGGATCATATTCGACATTGAACTAGTATTTTGTAAAATGTAACACGCCTACAATTTACTGTGGGTGTGCAACGCTGTTCTATCCGACGTTCAAGTAATCGAAATCTCATCCTTGATTCATACGTATATCAAAGCCATTATCTAAGTGAACATTATGGGTACCAAACTGGGACTTACATTGTCATAAAATAGCCTAAAAATTAAGAACCCACTTGATTTTTTAACTGAATTATAATATTTAAAAA